AAATAAGAAGGATAGTTCATTCCAAAAATATTTGAAAGTTTAAATGTGCATTAGATTGCAGATTATAAATAATCGGGTGCCTGGACGCAGTCCAAAGATGAAGGCCACCAAAAATAGTATAGAAACTGACACAATTTTATGATGATAATAATAATAATAATGATACAGATGAGGCTTTGATCCTCTCTTTATCCTCTAACCAAATAGACTGTTATAATAATATAATATATTATTTAAAGCTTGCTAGGCTAGGTTGTCACCAAAAAAACCAGATCAAGTGATGAAAATAAACTTTGTATGTGAATTTTGAAGTATGCGATAGAAAAATCTAACCCAGTGATTATTCTGCTAATCGGTGAGTAAAGTAAATAACCTCTACTAAACTCTCATCAGTGAAGCTCTTACTATTTGGTAAAGCATAATTAAGACTTCTAGATAGAACTGTCCATTGACATTTTAGACATGTTAACCACTTTCCGACCTATCTTCATTTTCTCTTCTGTGGATGAATTCCGACAATTATTCAAAAGTCTAATTCTAATTCCTAAGGTCTTATGTTTCTTATCGTGACTCTTCCTTATCTGACCAAATACTACATCATATGTGTCAGCCATCGATTGAAGCTTCAGAAATTCATCAGAATTAAGAGTATCAGACAAAAATTGCCTTAAGCTGGTTTGCGTTCGGATCGAATTATGTAATTTTGTAATGATTTGAAGGATTCTTTCTTTAACCAAATCATGAGATACTTTTATAAGATCTCTCTTTGGCAGATAAGGTCTATCAAGAATACAAAACTTAGGAATAATACTAGCCAAAAAAAAATACTCCAAAAATTAAATGTGATTAACTTTTCTGGTCAGCTATGTTGGTTTAGGTCTTTTGGTAATTGTTCGTGAATAATGGCTTCAGAAAATCCTCAGAATTAAGAGTATCAGATAAAAATTGCCTTAAGCTCGTTTGCGTTCGGATCGAATTATGTAATTTTGTAATGATTTGAAGGATTCTTTCTTTAACCAAATCATGAGATACTTTTATAAGATCTCTCTTTGGCAGATAAGGTCTATCAAGAATACAAAACTTAGGAATAATACTAGCCAAAAAAAAATACTCCAAAAATTAAATGTGATTAACTTTTCTGGTCAGCTATGTTGGTTTAGGTCTTTTGGTAATTGTTCGTGAACAATGGCTTCTGGCTCTGACGATATTCTTCACATGATGGACGAAAGATCAGCACGAAGTAATCGGGGTCGTAAAACGGTGAGCCGAGGTCTTCTTCGCACAACTGAACAGACAGAAGTAGAAGCCAACCCTCCTGCGGCATTAAGTAAGGCCAATCTATGAATCCCTTCCATCCACCTTCTCGAAAGAAATGAAAGTATCCAATCTACTAAGGGATACTTCGAAACCCAGCTTCCCTTAATATCTCAGAAGTATGTATGGAGACCAAATTTTTTGATACTCTCCACTTTACACCAAGACCAAGAAACTAATGGCCAGGCAAGTTAATAACATTAAAGAAGTGGGTTGACCTCGTTGTCAAAGTCGTCTGCAATAGTAGTTTTCATGATTCCAAGCATCAGACAGTGGACTTGGTACATTTTCAGACATTTCGCCGGCCTCCTCACTGAATGCTGCCATTCTCCGCACCAAGCTACGAACACGTCTAAAGGACAAGTGAAGTCAATCCCTCGACAAACGTTCTGCCGAAAACGGTTACACTATTACTCTTCTTTCTGTCCTGGCCTATCTATCTACTCTTTAACCTTTTATCAAACTCC